TTCTTTTTAACCCAAAACTTAATAGTCGTATCATCACTACTGGATATAAAAAGATCTTCATTATTATTTAAAATGATGCAACTAATCCAATCACTATGACCATTAATAGTTTATGAACAAATCCATGAATTATTATTATTATATTACCAAATCAAAATAGATCCTTAATCTCCAGAAATCAATTAATTTTATTATTTCATAAAATTTAAAGTGCCCACATGACTTTTATGTTAATTTAAAACTTGATTTAATTTCAACATTCCTTATTGGAATTCATAAATTTTAATTAGTTAATTACAACCAGCCGCTACAATTGAACAATCTTTATTAATAGCAACTGCAAAACAATATTCTTATTATTTAATAGAATTAGCTTCAATTATTTAATAAGAAAATGGTTTAACATTCACTTATGATAGACATTTCATTTCATTTTTTTATTATTTTCCAATAATATCTGATGGCAATTATTCTTTAATTTCATTTTTCAACTTTTCATTAAAAGCCTTAATTTCTTTCTCCCACCAATCCTTTGCCTTTGATAATTTCTACAAATAAGAATCCTTCTAAGCTTTCCATTCATTTAAATATTTTCCTTATACAATTAATACTAATTTCTCTAAGTCAGTATCTGACAAATCAGTAGGATTGAAATTTTTGTTCATGATTTCCAAATATGATTAATCCTGAATCTTAATTGTATCATATATTTTTTGGATTGATTCCTATACCTGTTGCCAAGTATTCTTCAGCATGGTTTCAGTTTGAAAGAGAATCATTAAAAAATTCTTTCTTTATTAGGTGAATTCAGAAGTTTGATCAATCTTAGATTCATTTAATTACTTTATAACCATATCTTGAAATCTATGAGTCGGAATCGTATATTTAATATCAACTCCATGTTCATATTGGCAATCGATGCAAAGTTTCCTTTAGCATTTACATTAGTGAGGGGCAATACATATTGAAGTTATTGGAAATTGAATATGGCGAATGCAATTCATTTCCTTTTTTTTTTAATTATTGATTTTCTATTACTTTCCTTTTAATTTTTATACTACAAATAAAAAAAGTGTCTTAAAGATGAGGACCGGAATTTATGTGATTGGCTTAAAATTAGAAAGTGGGAAATCAAATTAGTTTATTCATAGCTTTATTCATTAAGAATATAGAAAAAATCGCCATAATGATAAAAAAACTTTATGTATTTATAATATATTCTTTTGATTTTATATATTTCAATATTTCTACTTGGTTTATGTTATTGGTAGTTCTCATAAAATGAACTATCATATTTCCAGTTTTGATTGTGGATCAAAGCTAAATTTATTATTCAATTTCCTATGATTAAAATTTTTTCTTGAGTTTATTTAATTTTTTCCTTTAGATCTGTTTTTCAAGTCTTGATAATTGAATACCATCATTTGTTTCATTTCGAATCAAAGATTATTTATCAAAATTTATTTTTCAAGCATAATAAATTTAAAAAATACTAATAATTGTATATTATCACTACTTAAATGATTAGAAGATCTAATATAAAATCAAAAGCAACATTATGTAAGAAAATAATGGTTTAAGTTAGAGTAGATACTTATTAGAAAGATATGGGTTTTATTTAATTTAAGAAAAATTAATAAAATATTGTTATATTCCTTAAAATATGAATCATCAGAATAACTAATTTTGATGAGAGTTAAGATGATTATTTAAATTAAATTTGTTTAATGATTTTCTGTTTTAATTGAAACTTTTTATTTTTATTGGAGTTATGTTTCAACAGCTCAAAAACTAACAATTACATTTTCAAAAAAACAATAATGGTTTTTAAGTTTTATTTAAAATTATTACAAAACAATAAGAAATCTAATCAAATTATGGGTAATAAAAATTTATTTCTATAATTGAATATATTAGTTTAAATTGGTATCCATCATTATCTTCAATACTTATATTCTTATTTTTCAATGAAATGATAAATTACTCAGATATTAGTTGATCTAATTTATCTGATTTGACTACTAATAGTAATACTACAAGAAACATGGTATATTTTTTTAATTCATTTTTGTTTAACGGCATTAATAGAAGTTTATCAAATTTTAAATTCATCATTGAAATTAAAATTTGAATGTTCCTTAAAATAAATTCATTATCTAAAAATTTGTTTTTTAATTTGGTGTTATCCTATTAATGAAAAAAGGGTTGTAAAATTTAATTCGATATTTATATAGCCCTTTGTATTTTGAGAGGATCTTTCAACTTATAATTTTATTGCTTTCATGATTATTTTAGATGATAAGGCAAATCCCTTTATCGAATCAATAATTCAATTAAAATTTTCAATTACAGATCTTAAATTGTATTCTTTCATAATTTGAAAATACAAATAAATTGACATTAAAAATTCAATCTATCAAACATTCACATATAAAATTTTTATTTTTTGTAGTTTAAAAGTCATCAGATAAATGGAATGAAATAATTTATTATTGCTAAGGTAAGCAATAAAGACATTTTATTAAAATGATAGATCTACATTTTATGACACACTTATAAAATTCAGTAGTTAAAATTGGGATTATAATCAAGTATTAGAATTATAATACTTTTGAGTTCTTATGGGATTCTAGAATATGATATAATAGATTTATAAATAGAATAAAAAATTCCTTCTATGATAAATCAAAAATTTCCTCATCTTCAAATTATATCAAGTATTATTATATGTAATTTAAGTTCAAGTTTTGACTAATATTATTGTAATCAGTTTAATTCTTTTAAAGATATACAATCATAATCTTTATATCATGTCTTATTATATTTTTCATTTCATATTCAATTTTCTGAATTCGATACGCAACCAACTCAGTACTAGATGTCCTTAAACAATAATTTAAGAATGTAATCTAAAAAATAGCAATCATATAGAGTAAAGTTTTAGTAAATAGCAAACTCTTCAGTTCTAATAATAATATGATATTTAAAAAGATAAAATAAAACTATATAATATTTGAAAATTTCTTACACATTAAATTAAAAATTTATGAAATCTTAAATGCATCTTCAAAGTTTTAATTTAACTTATATTAATTTATATATATATAATTAATATTTAATTAAATCTTAATTCAAAAAAATCAAAATACTAGCATTTAAATAATACCTAAGACTTCTTAAGTATTATCATTTTTCCTTTATATACTAATTTTGATTTTTTTCTTGAATTATTATCCAAAATGAAATAGATAAATTCCATCCTCTCTTGTTACCAGTAATTACCACAACTTTAAAAATTCATAATTGTCTTTCATTCTAATTACATTAACAATCTTTCCATTGTTATTCACTAGAAGTGATTGAAAATAAACAACTATCATCGCATAAACTAAACGATAGAGGATTAATATCTTTTTCCTATCTTAATTAATTAATATTAATATCAGCTCATATACTTACATTTTTGCTTTGAGTTAAAGTTAGAATATAACTTATTAATCATTAATAACATTGTAGCCCATGTTGAATCTTTTATATAATAAACAGACCTTACTTTTGTTTTGTCATTACTGATATATCATTAAATAAAATAATTTTATTCTCATTTTTATTGGAAATTTAATGAAGAAATTTCACTTAAATATGGTCAGTATTTTCTAATTGAAATCGAAATTAATATTATATATCCTAAACAAACCTTATCACAGTAATTAAATCTTATCTTTTTGAATAAATCAATAAATTATCTTGAATTGGCTACAGTAAAATAATGATCTAATAGTGCCTACCTCACACAGAATGATTTGTTTTATTCTCCAAATTTAATGTACTAACATCCTTTTTATCCTCATTTAATCATTATGTGCAATTCAACCTTCCTTTTTATCACTTTATCTAGAATCTCCTAAATCAATTAATAAATTAAATTAATAGAAATAATGATACCTATTTTTTTAATTAAATTTATAACGAAATAATTATCTAAAGCCCTCATTTCATCAAAATTTAATATTCTATAACTAGTAACAAAGAATATTCTGGAGCAGTACCCCTTCAATAAATTGGCGCAAAGACTATACGAGAAACAATGTTCTAAAAATAGTATCTAGTACTGGTGATAAGTATGCCTTGTAACTAGTAACATATTCCAGAAAAGGAAAAGGGAGCATGAATCTACGATTATGAATTATGGGTCATCACATTTGGATATAAATTTCTCCTAAAATCTCACAAACCCTGTCGCCATGTTTGAAAGGCTTACAGAATCCTCTTGCTTTTCAATTACTCGCATTTCCAACCAATTTACGTACATAATAAATTCTTTGCATGATTTTGAGTGGATTCGAAATTGAAATTTTAGGCAATAAAGTTTTTCAATTTTGAATTAAAGCAATGCATGAATTGATTCATCGAAATTTGGATTTTCTTATAAATTTTTGAGGGCCAGGTCTTAATGAGACCTTACCTACTAGAAATCATTTATATAGTTTAAATTAAGGTTATATGCTTTATATAAAATTTTAACTTCTTTAGTTAGGGTTAAAAATTCTATACATTAACGAAGTATGGCTATGAACCACACAAATTTTTTGGAAATATAGTTAGTTAAGACTGGAATTAGATATAAATAAAATAATGAAAGTTTTATCTTATTGTGTATCTATATTAAATACCTAAAGAAATTTATATACTTGTAAGGTTTCTTTATTCTTCATATCTCATTCTTAATAGTGTATACGTCTGAAAACTAATAAAAAGTCTAAGCATCTATCATAATTGTATTTACTTGTATTAAATAGGAATACGAAGTCATAAAAATTCTTTTCTAAAGGTAAATCATTCTTGGCCTTTTTTAACTCTTTCATTTTATTAAAATTAAGCTGATCTTTTGTTTACCATACTAACAACTTCACACTACTTATCTTCAATATTTATAGATGATATTTTCACTCTTTAAACTCTAGCTTGAGTAATGTAATTGAATTTCCAAAATTAGCAATTCACATATATTTAAATAAAGACAATTCATCCTTCTTTCTCATTTCCTTCTATTTAATTAATATATTTACTAGTGAATTAGTTGATAACATTTTTTTATTTAAATGTAAAATACTAATACCTTATCCTAAGATTCATCACCTTTCCTTTCTTTTTGTTCTTAGTTCTACTTTCCATAAGGACTTTTAGTAATCTTAATTTATCTCATCCAATTTCTTAAATATTTGAGCTCTTTAATATTTATCCTTTATTCTAAAAGTCTACACTCAAAATTACAATTTATACAATTTATTATCGTACATAACAATTCACTTTTTCATTTGCTTTAAAATTAGTACTAAATATTATGTAGATGATATTATATAGTCTTTTCAAGTAATAATTCATCTAACAATTAGATGGAGCATGCTCAGCTGAAAAATGAGATTCCTTAATCATTATTCATAATTTCAGAGATTCAGATGCTAATAAAATCAATTGCTCAATGATATTAGATTTTATTAGTTTGTATGAAATTTTCAGCACTATCAATTGATGAACATCACTACTATGATCTGAGATTATTTATTAACAGATCCACTTATTTTCTTTCACCCAAAATTTAATAGTCGTATCAAAACTACTTGAAATAAATAGATATTCATTATTATTTAAAATTAAACTTCTAATCCAATTACTGTGTCCTTAAATAGTTTATGAGTAAATCCATTAATTTTTATTATTAAAAGTCCAAATAAAAATAGATCCTTAATCCCCATCTAATTTGACTATTTCATCAAATTTAAAATGACCACTTCTCTTTTATGTTCATTTAAGACTTGATATAATTTCAACATTCCTTATAAAAATTCATGTATTTTTATATATTTATCACATCCAACTGCTAAAATTGAACAATCTTTATTAATAGCAATTGCCTATATACCTATCTATTTCTTTCATATGATACTGAAATATCTTGATTATATGATTTTATATAAAAATTAAGTGAAAAAAAATAACAAAGATATCAATATTAAAAATTCTTTAACATGTTTATTCTAATAAGCAATAAGAGTGTGGAAAGCCTAGAATTATGCATCACAAAAGAAAGAAAAGAGTGATATAGAGTTTGATTTCCCCTAAGTTGTTTTTGTAAGAATTGATATATTTGATTAGAATCTATTAATGTTATGATTACGTTCTTACTTAAATCTTAAATAGTCAGATTAAAAGATTTGAGAAACTCCTTTTATACTTATCTACGCTTATTAGGAAAAATTGTCTAAAGGTTTATATGATTATTCCAGCCATATTTAATGTTCTTCTTGGAATGAAAAAGAAAAGTAATAAGTGTTCTCAAGCCTAGTTATTTTGGATAATAAAAACTTTGCTTTTTATAAACTGTTTTTTGAGGGCAAAAAATATAGAGTTCTAAATGGAACTACCAAGAAATTTTTATATTTTTTCTTATTGAAATTTTAATTAAAATAAATATCCTTTTTTCAGATTATTTAAAATTTATCAAAATATTGATATTTTATTATTATTCTAAGAATAGCAGGGAAAAAAAAGTATTATAGATTGTAAAATTAGATTAGTTGATGATTTTAATACACTTTCTGATTTGATATAAAAAATAACTACATATTAATAATTGAGATTGTTATCAATATTTTGAAAGTTTATAATATTGTTGATAGTTGAAATCAAAACTTTGAATTCCTATCACAAAGATAGTATAACAATAGGTTTGATTTAAAAATTTGAGAAAAAAATCAGCTTTGATATTTGATATTTGAATAAAAAAACTACTTTTTATCTCTTCCATTTAAAATAAAAAAATCAATCATTATTCTTTATATTCCCTGATCTGAAATTCTTTTGAATCAGTTCCCCAAGTGATCAAATATTGTCCATCGTCAGTCATACATCCAAAAAGCTCATGGGTTCCAAACTCAATTGTTTACTCGGTTGTAAATTCACCATTTTATTACTTCCTTATTAAATTCACATTTGAACTATTCTTATTCACAAGAATACATTTTGATTTAATGTATTATTAAGGAAATTATGTACATTCTGGTCCCTCTTTTACTGGAATATCTTTTGTCTTTGAAAATAATTTATTAGAACTATTCATCTCAAAAATATGCATGTACTAGTACCCCCAAGATTAAACTGTGAATGTGCTATTATCAATAAAACATAATCGAATTCCCTATCTCTCCAATTCAATCTTTTATATTATAATCCATTATTTATTCAATTCTGATTGTTCCATTACTAGTATCAACATATCTTATCCACAAGATATCAATTTATTTTATTGTTCATTAAAACTTAATCCTAATACTCGATTTATATGTTCTTTGATTGTCTATTTACACAACCATTCATTTTATTCATACCATAATTTAATTGTACTATCACCATCACCAGATGCAATAACATCTTCATTATTGTTTAATGTCAAACACATTATATAACTTGTATGTCCATTAAGTTTCTATTAACAAACCCATGAATTATTTGGATTTCTTGCCCAGATTATAATCAAATTATCATCACTCCCAGATATAAATTGATCCGATCTCTTCAGAAAATTTAACGTATTTACATCTTTACTATGTTCACTTAAAATTTCAAGTTATTTCAAGATTGCTTAATTAAATTCAAACACTTTAATTTATTCTTTACAACCGGCAATCAAAATTGAACAATCTTTATTAACAGCAATTGCATAACAAAATTGATCTTATTTAATTGAGTTTTGTTCCATCAATTAATAATTGAATGGTTTAAGATTGGATGGAGTAATTTCTTAATTAGTAATTTATTAAATTTGAGAATCATCCTGTTAGATTTTTTGTTGTTCTTCATTAATTTTATCTTCTTATCTCTACATCTTTTACAATAAATGTAATAAATTATTATTTTACATATTAATCAAGCAACAGAATATATACCATACAATTTCTTTAAGTTGTTAATATGTTTATAAATAATGCGCACTTATAATAATATTTTATTCGTATTTTTATTATTACGCATTAATAAAGTGTTTAGATTAATAGTAGGGTATATCTAAATGAATTCCAAATAATTTTATTTAATAATTAGTCTAATGTATATTATACTAATAATACTATACGATAGTAAGGCTCTTAAAGAAAAAAATATATTTCAAATTATTTTTTTGGTAAGTTTACAGGCTATTACTCTAAATACTACAAATTTAGATTATGATCCCGTAAACAAGGCTCTCAAAGGATTCTAGAATAAGATCATAGATTAATAGTCAGAAAAAAAATTACTTCTTATTGTAAATTAAATTTATAAGTATAAAAAATAATTTTCACAAAAAATTCATTTTTGTAACAATATTTGATTTTAAACTCAAATGAATTCTTCTTATTGTTGACTTGATGTTATTATAGTAAGTGCAGCAATACTAGAATATTAACCAAAAATCATTCAAGAAGATTTTATCTAATAGTATATTCAACAACTTTATAATTATTATTGGTATTTACTATAAAAATTAAATTTATGAGTATCAATCATTCTTAATTACAGAGCGATGATAGAATTCTTGATATTATTAAATGTAATGAGGCATTGTTTTTGGTTTGCAATTAATATGATCAGTGTCAATAAAAAATTCTTTGATATCAATATACTTAAAACACTACATTTAAAGGAAATCTCCATCTTTTGGTATTCCTGGTTAGCATATAATGCAATTCGCCCCAAATTACAGACATTCATTATTTACAGTATTAGCAATTACTGTTGTTATTTGTGCATTCTCAGTTAATAATTAAATAATATGTTTCGTATTCAATTTGTATTTCTTTCTCAAAATTTAGTCCCAGAATATAATCAGAATTTGCAATTATTTCTTCTAAGAAACCTTAACTAAGCTCGATCTTTAGAATTGAAATTTAAGAGTAAATATTCATTTTCTATTGGTTTTCTGGCCTACTTTTAATAAGTGCTTGTTGAGCTTGAAATTAGTAATACGTAGTCTTCTGTGCAAATTGAATTTGAATATCATGTCTTCTATTAATTCAGACAATCAATATATAATAATTTCCTTCTTTTAATGAAATCTGGGTCCTTATTGCATAAACAATCAGCACAATATATTACTTGCCCAAACTATCTCTCAAATTAACCTAAACCACATGCAAAAGAATTAAAATCTTCACTTTCAAAAATAGTATTATCTTAAAAATATTATAAACTTTCTAAAAGTAATATTGATTTCTTATTCTCACATTGAGTATTTTCATTCTCTCAGTAAGAGTATCTACATCGACAGCTACTTTTATCTGAATTATACACTTGTATTTGTAGATTCTTCATCTAGACAGGTTATGCAAAGAGTTTCTGATGGTCCAAAACAACTCAAACAACAATAATGACATTTTATAAAATATTAGATATACAGTCATGGGAATATTGAAACTCCATCTATTAGATTTAACCATTAAAATTATATAACATATTTCATCCTAAAGTCATAGAAAATGAAGTTTCAAACAAGTGAGTTTTTTATTACTAACTTAAATCTGTTCTTTTGTTGATACCTTCTGTTTCCCCAATAAATTATATTCTAAATATTATTAGTTCCGTCATTCTAAATAGTGTTTATGCTCTCTATTGATATTATGGAACCTAAGAGACACTCTTATTACCAAAGTTTTAATCCAAGCTAAATCCAAATTAATAACTGATGATCAACTTAGTAAATTTTTTTCTCTTTAGGATATTTGTTTTTATAAAAATAATTTCTACTAACTAAATCCTAAAATTCCTTTATTTAATAATACTTCTCAATTTCATATTTTTGATATTATCTTCCAATTAAATTGTCTAATTTAAAAAATACTTTGGTTTTAACTCTTTTATTCAATTTAAAATTCAATGTTTGGATTTTCTGTAAATTTGTAGCCTTGAACTTATTGAGGACAGCAATATTAATTAAATTAGAAAAATGCTAAAAGTTTTTGATTATATCTCTTTATACAAGAATAAAAAAATAAATTTCTTAATTAAGTTTTAAAAATATATTGTTAAATGTTAAATGAATTCTTTTAATTCTTGGATAATGAATCTAAAAACAATCTTATATATAAAATAACATAATAAGCATTTCATAGTTTATTTTAATGAGCAGAATAATATTTTATTTTTGTTAAATAAATCTCTCTGTTGAATAAATTCAGAGTTTGTTTTGTTAATTTCAATATATAAACAATATGAACATTTTATCTCCATTTTTTTTAAGATAATTTGAGACGAAAATAATAATAGACAAATTTTTATTCTTTTTCTAAATAAATAGTATTTTTTATGAATAGTTAAATATAAATTCAATCAATTTATATTTAAGATAAGTCAGAATTAAAGTAAACCAAATCATTAATGAGAGATAAGTTAAAAAGGTCATAAAAATTGAAATATTTTTAAATGAAATTCATTTGTACAAATTCAAAACAATTAAAAACTGCTATAAATTAAAAGGAATTAAAAAATTAATATACTTTAGATATGACAATATTTATATTGTATCTAGAAGATTATAAAAGATATCTACCCCTTCAAATAGAAGAGCAGTTCCACTCATTGTTCAAATAACATTTAGAATATATTAATTGCCTGAAGAAACCATTTCAACCTATTCAAGTGTAGTTATATCAAAAATAATAAGTTCAACAATTTTTATTGTTAAAATCTATTATTATTAAAATTAAAGCATAAAGAATTAAGAACTCAAAATTAGCTTTACCAATCTTTTTCATTTTAAATCTAGTAATGGTTATAGAAAAAATAAGATTATTATTATATCAAAATGATATAGTAAAAGTAAAAGGTCTTTTACTAATTAAAATTTACTGAATAAGTATTATTAAGGAAACAGAAAATAAATGTAACAATATCTCATTAAATGTATCTTTAAACTATCAGTTAATTTGAGTTTGGATGAATTAATTATTCATATTGAAGGTGATGTCACATTATTATTTTATATTTATTTCTTCTTAACCATTTAGAATGAATACTTCAACATCCTTATTAAAATCTATATCATTGTTAAATTGTAGGAGTATGTTATATTATATAGATTGATCACCTGCTTATATTAGAATTTGAATAAGTAATTCTGGTTTTATACAAACTGAGTCTTTACAAATAAATTATTATTCTAATCTACATGTTCGATCATTTCCATTTAATACATTACTGTCATCGCATTCTTCATCAAGACTCATTATTCCATCTCCACATTTATAATAACATGTGTTAGTTTCAAAATTAGAGTATAAGCCAACAATATTAGTTATTTTATTTAAATCGGCATGAATTGCAGTTAGATGCACTATTTATATATTATAGACATTATCGAGCACATTTAACACAAACTGATTATTGAATAAAGTATTCTTACTCACATTAAGTAAAAATAATGGAATTTAATGTATTCAAAGTGGATATTGTCAACAGAATACTTTATATTCTGTTTAATTCTTAACTCTATCAGATATTATATTTCTTTATAAAACCTAATCCAAAAATTAATCAAAAATATTTATATTAAATTAAAAATTCCTTTTTTATGATAATTGAAAATTATACAGAAATTACCTAGTCAGGAATGAGAACAGAAGTGAATTTCATCTAAATCAAAATTTTTCTGTTGCTAGGGTTTCTTAAAGAAAATCTTATTTAGGATGTAAATTTATGAAACTGATAATTAAAGTTATTATTTTATCATATTCTAATGTTTAGATGTTATAGCAAAATTAATATAAATTTTAGCAAACATACCATTATGTAAAAGATGATTGATGCAACAAAATTAACTGTGATTTATCTAATATAGATCTTAGTTCAGGAGCATAAATTACAATTTTTTTTAATATATTTATAGTTCTAAATACTTAATAACTTTACAAATAAGGATATAGATTAACAAGTTATTTATCCAAATTAAATTTAATATTTGCTATAAAATAAAATTAATTTTAGGATCGAATTTGGTTTAATTTATATTTATTATTTCATTCGTATATATCTAGAATTTTCAAATATTCCTTAAATTTGTCTTTATAATATTCATAATTTATTAGAAATCCCATCTAACCTTCCGCTCCAAAATCATTATCATCAAAATCTCCTCCTATGGTATTGATTGATGGATCTGTAAAATTATAACCAACTCCTTACACATTACAAATCAAATAATTAAAATCACTCTTAAAGTATGTGTAGTAAGTAAAGACTTAAGACAAAGCATTTATTTTTTCTGTGTTGTCGTTTATATATCCATATTTATTATTAAACTCTATGAATTCCCCTTCAAAAAATCTCTCTGCAATAAAAAAGCTCTCTAAATGATTTACTGATAAATTTACTTTCATCTTCTTAAAGAATTAAGAGATCTTAATATTTAATAGGAGGAGTATTGCAACCTTTATCATTTAATTCCTCAATAAATTTCTGCATATATCTTTTCGAAATTAGATGGGATCTACAATCTTTCATGGCTTCATTCATTGATTTGTAGGGTTATCCTCTTTGAATAGAAAAAATAAATACCCTATAGGCATTTTAAGAATATAGACCTCATCCTAAAAGCTATCTGCTCTTTTCATCAAGTAAACATCTTTCAATTAACTGAAAACGATTGGTTTCAAAGTTCTTATACAAGTCCAGTAATATTGATGTTTTACAGTATAATCATTCGGAATCTATATTTTTTCTATTGTTATAATATTTTTTTCAAAGGCTTTTTAGTTAAGTTCTATGCTAAAGATCTTAAACTTATTTTGAATAGTGGTTATGTTTGGATCTCTGTTGAATATTGTGGGGTCAGGTATAAACTCAATTAAGATCTCCATAATAGGACGACCAAGTTATGCTTCTTTTTCTTTTTTTATTCTGTTTCTTTTAAGATTTGGGTCATGACTTGGATGGTACTCAATATATCTATCATCTATTTGATTTTCTTGATCTTAATAGGTTGCTTATTTAAAAAATAATTACTATGTTTTTTCATTGATAATTCTTTTTTATTTCTCTATTTCCTCTTTCAATTTTTGAGCTCTCTATATTTTCTATTTCAATGTTCGAGCTCTCTATATTTTCTATTCCTATAATTTATCTCTATATAGTGTATTCCTCTGAATAATTATATCTTCTCCTAAGTTTTTACTTTTTGTTCTTAATTCATCAATCCAATTATTTAATTTAATGAGCATATTTTTTGAACAATTTTACATCTCTTCTTCTAAGCCTTTCTCAAATTCATCTTAAAATTAAAAGATTTGATCTATTATATTCTTCAAATCCTGTTCATTTAATTCTTAAAGTCTTTATTTATTGTATTAACATTTATTTCTTAGGGTTTTAGTTAATTCATTAAATCCTTCGACTATTTTTCTTAAACTTTCTTATAAATTGAGTATATAAATCTCCATTTTTTTTCCAATATCTTCAAAAAATTGAATTAATCCTTCTTCATCTTTTACATTATATTGACAAGTAAAATGTTCATTTCTTTTATCACATTTAAGACAATAAACTCTATTGGTAGCTCTACATGATTTATTTAGGCAAACCTATTGAAAAAGATTCTTTTTCCCACAAGAACAATATATCTGAAGATTTCTAATTTAACTCATAAATGATATTATTTGTATTTCTATTAATTATTTTTAATTTTATTTTAAGATAATAATAATATCATCTTAATATATTAGTTAATTAATTAGATTTAAATTGGACTAGATATTCATCAATCAACTGATTAATAAAATTTGGTAATAATCTGAATATCTTCCCCTGTCTTGACAAGATAATTTCCTATTTAAAACAATATATTGCAGTTAATATATTATTTTCTGAATATTTACATAATTTTTATTATTATTAGAAATTCATTGCTATATTGATAAGATTTTTAATCATTTAATATTCATATATATGATTTCTAAACTTTGATACATTATTTACAATAACTTATCTCCCTAACAAATAAAATTGTTATTATTCATAAATCTTCTTTTCTAAATTAACTTAAAAATTTTTTTAATTAACTCATAAAAACTTATTAGAGTCTGCATCATTGGTTATACAAATTAATTGAGGGATTAACTAGTTTCAATTTTATGAGATTTCCAAAGGAATTAAGGATTTATCTGCCAAAGAACACAATAAAATACTTAGTCAGTAGTAATACAGATATCTCTTATGAACTAGTTTAGCTAGAGAAATTATGATTATTTCTGAATGAGAATTATGCAATACCTATAGTTTTTAAGAGTTAATTGGACTTGAATTACAATTATATCACTAGTTCTAAGGCTAAAAGGTCCAATGAGGAATGATGAATAAAAATGATGAGGAAAATGGATTATAGAGTCAAATAGAAATGTCCTTAATTTCTCTTATGAAATTAAATCTCTTCCTAAATATGATTACTTAGACAGAAATAATTGGAAAAATGCAATGGTCATTTAATCATGAGATTGATAGCTAAACCAAAAAGTATAAGCTTATTTTTTTATCAGGAGAGCTTGCATAGCCAAATTTATGAGTTAAATTTTAGATTTTTTTAAGAATTAAGTGCTCCAAATATTTATTGACAAAGTTATTGCATTATTTCAAGATAACATACTAATTCAACTTTAAAATCATCAAAACTGAGTAAAATATTTTTAATTAATATGAATTATTAAAAAAATAACAAAAAGTTTAATTCTATATTTAATTAATTATTATATTTATTCAAAAAAAATCTGCTTATAAAATTTACCCAAAATGAAAAAGTATATTTTCTCTCAAATTTAGAGAATATGAAAGAATATGATTTTTTAATATAATAAATAACTTTAAAACCTATTTTATTTGTTCAATTTCAGTAATACTCCTCCCCTCTAATAATTTGAGTTATTATAACTTACATTTTATGAAAGTCATCCTTCATTTTTTCCCTTATCTCTTCATCTTAAACCATCTACCAACTTTCTTACCTCATTTGTAATCACCTTTTAAAATAACTTAATTCAAACTTATTATTAAATATTTGAACTTAATACCTATCAAATCTATCACTTAATTCAATCCATTTTCCATTCTTAAGTCCTTCGTTCTCTATTTTATAACATCCACCTCCACTAAATAATTAATAATTCTAATTATAATTGCATCAATTCTTATTTTTTATCAAATCACTCCAATATAAATTCCATAAACCAACTTTTTATCCATTATTATATTCACCTTAATAGGTGATTTAACTTTCACTATTTAAATAAAGATTAATCATTTTATACCGAGCAGAATTTTCATCCAATTCAACCCATTTTCCATGTTTAGATCCTCTTTCATCATACCATCCAATACCACTAAAATTAGTATAGATATTTCTTATTACATTTATTTACATAAATCTTAAGAATACTCACTACTCGATATATTCCATATACCAATTTTATAACCATTTTAATATTATCCATTAAATTTGACTTACTTATTTCTAATACATCAATCATAATCATTCATTACCTCTCCACTAAATAATAACTATTTATAAACCATACATCTCTTGAAATGATTAATAGCCATTCTACCTCAAACATTAAACCCACATACCAATTTTTTTACCATTTCTATATTTTCCATTATAAGTGACTTATTTATCACTTATTTATGTCTTTATATATCAAATTTACTTCTAAAAGATTTACTCAACTCAATCCAATTATCATTTTTTATTCCATTTTTATTATAATTTCAACTTCCTCTCTACACAAGAAAAAGTAAAAAATTAATACATTTCTTAATCCTTAAATAAATATTTCCATTTTCTCTTCTTCAATTATCAACATATTCTCCAACATCATATAGTAAAGACTATCTATATATTATAGTTATTAAAGTTGAATTTTACTTCATATAATTACTTTTTAATTCTGTCCAAAACCCTATTTTTTTTCCTTCTTCTGAGTATAATATAGCAAATTTTATTAATTATTTGAATCTATTCTATACTGACCCCCTACTTTATTTTAATTCTTGACCTTTCCAAATGGCTATCCAATCCGCAACTTGTTTTAGATTCTTTCTATACTCACCAACCCATTAAAGATATTTGATTTATTCTAAATTGTTTAGGATTTATGGAGTCTATTAGGGGTCGTTATTATAATCATTAAATTAAATAATTTATATAACATTCTCAAAATTTATCCATCCTCAGTAACATACTTGATTTCTATATTATTATTAATAATAATTAAGAATTTGATCTTCAGAAATCTATACCAAAACAATCTTTCACCTTAAAACTCCTAAAATTAATAATTTTTAAACTTTTAATATCATCTTTAGATAATTAATGAACTTTTATGGATTTTTTTATTTTAATTAAACCATATTTTATTGTTCTGTTAAAGGATAAAATACCTTAGCTAAAATAATTTATTGTTTGATAAACTTAATCATCAATGTGATATCCATTAAATGGAATAATAATCATTAAAATATATAAATGTATTTTAAACTAGTTTATAATAAGTGTAATATTTATATATCATAGTTGTTGTAGAGTCTTTCTACAAAGTATTTGCAATAATTTAAGGGAATGCCTTAAGAGAGATAGTAACTGAATTATTTTGTATATATTTATGATGCTGTTTTTAGGATTTATTCTGATAGAGGATAAATAATTTATGTAAAATATGGAACTGAAATAAAATTTATTGTGGATTTGAAAATATGGAATATAAATAATTCAAAAACCCTTTATAATTAGTGATTCTATTTTAGAAGAATTAAGATAGAAAAAGTAATTAATTAAAAACAGTTTATTGATATATTTAATGATTAAATTGAAATATATATTTAAAATATATTTTAGAAGAATAAAATTTATTAATATGAATTCAGGTGAGAGTAAAAATGCTCTTGTAGCCAATTGAAATGGAATAACTGAATGAACGGCATGCCCTGGCTAATTTGAGATCTATTTTTTATATCTTTCACAGAATACTAATACTTTTGTTATTATTTAATTACATATTTATGAATTTGGTTATTGTTAAATAATATAACAGCGTATCAAAATAACTAATTTTTTTGTGTATTGTTCTTTCCAATATAAATTTTGGAAGAATAAATATAGCATAATATTAATTTTCCTAATTTTATGAAAAAGCAAGAAATTGAAAATTTGAAGAGTTCCGATTCTCAAATTTTGTAATTGAAAGAAAATGGTAAGGATCAAGAGAAATAATTAGGTTAAAATAAAAATAATAAATTGCAATAGTACACTATTCCACAACTAAATTATCTAATGTTTAGTATATTATAAATACATTTGCCTTAAAAAATCGAAGCAATATATCATACAAGATAATGTAAATACCATTACTAGTGCTTCCATCCAAATAATGATGTATAAATCAAGTTTATTTCTTGTAAAATAAATATTAATTATTTATCCAAGATACCAAATTAATATACATGTAAGTAATATACATTATATAAGAGGGCAACTTTACATGATAGTAAGCACTATTAAAAATAAGACTTTTTTAGTTAAAATAATATTATCATGCTATTTATTTCTTAAATCTTTCAATATAATTTTATGATTATTTCTTCTGAAATTTTAACTTATAATAGTGATTAAGGATTAGAAGAAATTATTTATCTTATTCCTGTCTTAGAATTAAAACAATAAAACTTTTAATATTAGATCTCAAATATTAGCTTAGGGTAATTGAAGTAAGCCTTACTTATTAAAAATATCATTTATTTTGTAAATACTATAATTGAGATAATAAAATTTAATTCCAATGCTTTCAATAATTTATTCTTCATGAGTCTAATATAGTAGATATATTTAGAGCCAAAGCATTTAGTGTTTATAAATTTTGTATAGTATTTTATAAATATGTACAATTCAATCAGGAATCCAATTTAAGTAAATGAAACATAGATATTAACTAATCAATCAGCGTTTAATTGATATATTCAAAAAGTTTTCCAATACTTTCTATATATTGATCATTTATTTCAGATATGATTGAAATTATAAAGTATCTAAAATTTCCATACATTAACTAGGATTTCCAAATAATAAAAGAAAAAACTACTACTAGCTAATCCTATCACCATTCAATTACCCAAAGCTTAAAATTTATTGGCAGTTTGTAATTAATTCTAGTTTAAGATTGTGGGGAGTTATAAATTGATAGATTAGAGAGTAGTCTTTACTTTTTTTTATATTAGTCTTCTAAATTAGCATTGATTTCTACAGCTAAATAAAATTGAGTTGAAATAGATTGCAAAATTTGAATTTAAAAAATATAAATAACATCAAGTAAAATAGTTTAATAAATTTCAATTATAATAAAAATAATGTATATATCCTATTAAATGGATGGAATAGATGGATGAATTGAATCAGTAAAATTCAAAATAGTTTCATTTAATTTAACTTGATTAGAAAATGATAATCAAACGTATTAAATTGATTAAATCTAATTAACATATTACAATTTAAGAACAGTATAATAAGAGCAAAATACTTAATTATCTAGGATAATTGTTACAATACCAGTTTGGTTCAATTAGACATAAACTAGAACAACCATCTCCATCAAATTCATTATCATCATCACATTTTTCATTATCAGTATAAATAGCATCTCCACATTTATTTGACACTTCTTAATCTTCTTCAACAGAGGTGTGAGTTTAATTATCAACTTCGCAATAATAATTTATAATTGTATATCCTTTGATGCACTCTAAACATGTTCCAAAAGTACAAGTTTAACATTATTCTCCACACTAAAATTAACAATTAAAACAACCATCATAAGGAAAATCATTACCATCTAAACATTCTTCTAATCCAATAACAATAGGTTCATCTCTACATATTGGTTTACATTAATAATTATATAATTCGTAGTACTATTCACAAATTTAATATGTATTTTATTTATACAAGTGTTGCAATATTAAATACATTGATATTTGCATTCAAAACATCCATCTCCACTATCATAATTTCCATCATCAAATTGTTCCATTGAAGATACTTAACCATCTCCAAAATAGTGATAACAACTATAATCAATAAGCTTCCAACCATCAAAACACTAATAACATTTATTTTCCACACATTGTAAACATTCCAATTAGCAACTATATTAGCATTTATAACATCCATCAAACTATATATTGTTTAAATCATCCTAATTATATTACAATTCCATCATTAAAAATAGTAGTACATCTCAATTTATTATTTTCTAATTAATAATTTTCTTCACATTATAGACATTTATTAATAAAACTGATTTTACAATGTTGTATTGCTGGTATTATGCATTAATTATAAAAATATCCGAAAATCCAAAAATCTTATAGATTACATGTTTAACTACTGACTAAAGTATATTTAGAATTTTCATTATTAAATAGATTATGTTAGTAATGACCATTCTCATTCAAATTATTTATTCTATTATAACAATTTCTATTTTCTTAATCTTCCTAATTCTCATAACCATCACAAATATATATTAACATCTACCATTTATTAATTCGTATTTTAATGAAAATTATATGCATTTACCAAATTAACATTCACTACAATCCAAAGGGCAAGTATACTTACATTATTAACATCCATCATATTGATATGTGTTACCATCATTGCATTCTTCAAAATAATTAATTATTGAATCACCACATATCGGTATACAACTCATCATCAATTAATATTTCAAATTCATGATAATAATTTATAGTTATTATTTTAAATTAAATACTAACAGCATCATGAGGTGTTAGATATATTGTTTTAGTTTAGGACAAAGAATAGAAATAATAAATTTAAAATCTAGAATAATTTGTTACAATACCTCCAGCATTCACCAAACAATCGTAGAATCTCCCCCAGATTAACATCTATCATTAATCTAAACATTGAATTATCTAGTCGTAAAAGATTCTATAAATAATATTTAATTGTAACATCCATTCTAGTTACAAGAATGGCAACCTATTGGGCATTTTTCTATGAATAATTAAATATCTGAAATTCTCCAAATTCCTTCACCTATTATTAATATTTAAAAAGTTGGGCTAAAATGATAAGCATATATATCCAGTTGAAAAGTTCCATCATTATAGGATGAGCTTCAACAAAGATCATTTAAACTTGAACTATGATAATATTTTTAATTATGGTTTTCAATATTATCTATATAAACTTTAAATCATCTCCATTCCAAAAGTCTATTCTATAAATATCTCTAAATATTAAACCTCCAAAACTAAAATCTAAATCTTAATTAATAATGTGGTTGGAGCTCAAATGTTTTTTGAATGAAAGTTTCAGAGTCAAAACAATCATAAACTCTAAAAATCCATTTTGATTGGAAATATGATTCCCATTAGTTTATATAATAGTTAATATACCAATCTAAAAGTAAAAGCTAAAATTTACCATTAGTAGTAGCTACTAATATAATGTTAGTATATAAGCATTTCAGACTAGCACTTTATGATAAAATGCAGTAACAATAGGGAGTTTAACATGTTCATCAGATATTATGAAATTATGTACAAATTAAAAAATACATATATGTATTTTATTTTAGGAATATATATTAAAGGGAAATAACAAAGTTCATCAAAATTATTAATAGCAGCTCTTAAAATGGAGTTTGGTATACCTAAAATTAAGAATTGCTTAATTCAAATTTATTTCAAGGACTTCTAATTATTCTATAGATCAATTTAAAAAACTATGAATTAGTTTTACAAGAAATCCATAAACTTTAATATAAATTTTATTTAATAAAGATTTGAAGCTATAATACGGTTTTTGTAATAAAAACATTGTTTAATAAAAATTATCACAAAATTTATCATTAATAAATAATTGATTTAATATATATAATGTTACCCTGTTTAATTAAAATTAATTATAATTTTTCATATTTTCTAATCACTAGAGCTAATGAGTTAACTAATTACTTGATTATTTTGACGGTATGGCTTGGATAATAGATTTCATCAGTTCTTTCTCTATTTAATTTCCATATTTATCTTTAGATTTATTGCTCATTATAGATTTGTTAAGTGTTAATAAAAAATATTTTATAGCTTAATAGTGGTATTCATTGATTAATAAATGACATCAAATAAAAAAATTAATTTTAGATGTAATAAATTTGTAAATAATATAGATGTTAAACAATTTACAGTTTAATCAAAAATAAAGAATCTAAAAAATACTAGAATTTTGTTGAATATTATCAAAAAATTGGAATAGAGTATGGATAATAATATAATAGTTTGAAGATTAAGAAATGAATTGAATTTATCATACTTCTAAAAATGGGTTTGGGGTTGGGG